GAAGCGCTTTTGAAGCACCGGGAGCTGAAAGCACCTGGCCCTTCAGCAATATGGATCCTTCTGCTGGCTGAGCACACACAGAACACTGCAGTATTTTCTTCAAGTCCAAATGTGAAGCAGGCACAAAGGCCTCCCATGCTTTTCCCTAGCAATTTGCCCTTGATATGGAAGACACAGGAAATCTTAAGAGTCAAAAGACAACCCAACTCTGGGCAAGATTTCAGTGCAAGGCTTTCTTTCATCTCTGCAGGATGACCCCTTATGGCTGCCTCTCCACAGGCGACAAGACTGGATTGATAGAAGTAGTCATGCACTCAGATACCATTGCCAACATCCAGCTGAACAAGAGCAACATGGTGGCCACTGCTGCATTCAACAAGGACGCGCTGCTGAACTGGCTAAAATCTAAGAACCCGGGGTAGGTGGGCTTATCTTTTCCTCAGCTTCTTTCCAGCTGAGACATTTCCTCTGCTTGCTTAATTTCCCCCTTGTTATCCGTATTTCCAAACTATCCAGCAATCTCTCCAGCAATGAAGTATTGGAGCTCAAAGTAAAATTTCCTCTCAATCTCTTTTTCTTGTCCTCTTTAGAGAAGCACTAGACCAAGCTATAGAGGAGTTCACCCTTTCCTGTGCTGGGTACTGCGTGGCAACATACGTGCTGGGCATTGGGGACCGGCACAGCGATAACATCATGATCCGTGAGACTGGCCAGGTATGGGGAGTCACTGCTGCCCTTCGAGAGTTGGACGTGGGCATGAACACTGCTCAGCAACGAGCAGAGCCGTCCCTGGACAGGCCTCCTCTTACCTTCCAGCCAAGAGACACACAGACAAATATTCTCAACACTCAGCTTTTGCCAGTGAGAGGGTGTGTTAAGTTTTGTGATTAGAATTCCACCGCCTCCGGCTGCCAGTTAACCTCTGAGAGGCTGCTGTTAATATTATAGATAAATTACACATTTTCATGGAGCAAATAACACCTCTCAACCCTAAAACTGTCTGTAAACTTAAGCAGATGCAAACTCATGCTCTGCATTTACTAGTATAAAGACTCATTTTTAGCAGAATTACAAATTGCATTTAGTTGCTAGTCAAGATCCTCAAGTAATTACCCAGCATGAAATTCTCACAGTCTTCCTCCTAGGATTTTTTTTTTTT